AGGAGGTAAAGGCATTAAATTAATAGGTTATCTAGGGGAATGGTCATAAACAATCTCAAAGGGGGTTTTACCGATCGACCTATTTACGGAGTTGTTATAGGCAAATTCAACAGTGGGCAACAACAAATCCCATTTTTCCTTTTTTCTCACCCACTAGACACCAAAGCAAATCTCTTAAACGACTATTTACAGCTTCAATTTGTCCATCGATGTGGGTATGAAAGGCAGAGAAAAACTTGGCATCCCTATCAAACACAATAAAAATAGGCAATCCACGTAGTCGAAGTCCTCTCTAAAGAATAACTTTTTCACATGTGAGTTATCAGTAGACTTGGTGCAAGGAATGAAGTGGGTCAACTTAGAAAATTGATCCGCAATAACTAAAATGGAATCATGACCATGGGTTATTTTAGGTAATCCTAAGACAAAATTCATACTAAAGTCTCTCCATGGTGTGTATGGAACGGGTAATGGTGTGTACAACCTAGTGTTTTGTTTCCTAGCCTTTTCTAACTGACAAGTTCGACACTGTGACATCCTAGTAATGTAACACCTCAAATTGGGCCAATAAAACTTATCCTCAATAAGTGCAAATTTCTTATCCCTATCAAAGTGTCTCCTCAGGCCCCCCCATGTGTAACTCCCAGATCAGAAAATCCCTAAGTGAAGTATAGGAAATACATAGTCGTGACCCTCTAAACAAGTAACCATGTCTAAGGAGGAAATCAATGTGCTCATGAGGGTTACCTGCCTAAACATCCTGAAAAATGATACCAAAGTCAAGGAAAGAGGCATACTCATCTCTAATCCTATCAATTCTAATCACATGGATACTCATAGTCTGCAAAATAGAAACTACATGACTAAGAGGGTCCACAGACTTGTTTTCTATGCCTGCTCAGTGGTGAAGAACAAATGTATACTCCTGAAGGAACTCAACCCAACTAACATGACTAGCACTCAACTTTCTTTGGGATTGAAGGTATTTTAAGACCTGATGATCATAAAACAAAACAAACTCATGAGGTAGTAGATAATACCTCCAATGGCGGAGATCATGCACAACAACGTAGAACTCTTTATCATATTTATAGAATCTTTATTTAGCCTAGTTAAGTTTCTCAATAGGATAAACCTCTTGACTCAAAACTCCACATATTCCTACCCTAGATGCATCACAGGCAACCTCAATTTCTTGAAAGATGCCCTATCATCTTGTGCTTAATTTCTTGGAAGGCTCTAGTCATAGAAAAAGTTCATTAAAAATCCCTTTTTTTCTCACGTACTCTATGATGGGAGCCATAATGGAACTAAACCCTTTAATAAAGCGTCTATACAAGGTGGCCAACCCATGAAAGTTTCAAACCTCAAAAATTATTCTTGGCTATAGCCACTTTCTAATAACATTAATTTTCTCTAGGTCAGCTGCATAAAAAATCCAAGAAAAAATTCTTGAGTTTGCAAAAAGGAGCACTTCTTAAGGTTCGCATAGAATTTTTCCACATGAAACGTCTATAAAACCTGTCGAAGATGCTCCAAATGCTCTTCTCTAAACCGACTATAGATTAGAATGTAATCAAAATAGACCATCACAAATTTTCCCCGGAAATGATGTAATATCTGAGTCATAACCCTCATAAATGTTGTAGGTGCATTAGATAACCCAAAAGGCATAAACAACCACTCATAAAGTCCATCGTGGGTTTTAAAGGTGGTCTTCCATTCATATCCTGGTCTAACTCAGATTTTATGATAACAATTGTGCAAATTAATTTTGGAGAACCAAAGTGCACTGACCAATAGGTCAAGCATATCCTCAAGTTTTATTATAGGAAATCGATACTTGAATATAATTTTGTTAATGGCACAGCTATCAAAACACACATTCTCTAAGAGCTATCTTTCTTAGGGATCAAAAAAGTAAGGATAGCATATGGACTAAGAGTATAACAAACAAACTCCTCTTGCAAAATTCCATCTACTTACTTTTGTAATTCAACACGCTTAGTGGGATTCATGTGATAATGGGGAAGATTAGGCAATTGAAATCCTAGAACTAAGTCAATGGAATGCTGAACATCTCTCATAGGTGGTAACTTATCAGGTATTTCCTCAGGGATCATATCATGGAACTGTCTCAATAGACATTATGCCCAAACATCTGAGTTATGTGGATCAAAACTAGTGTTTGACATTATGCCCAGACAAATTTCGCTCCCACACTTGGTGCTTATGGAAATCAAAGTATCTACCTCCTAGGATATAATGATCTTCACGCAATTGAAAATAGCACTCCAATTCAATTACCTACCAAACCAGAAATTATGTTGTGTACTCTCAAATAATGCAGACTACCTAATGCCGAAAATATGACTGTAATGACTCTCTTAATGACTATGAAAATTAGATGCTGAATGACAATATAACTGGATTATTTATAGGAAAAATGGTGATTGATCTAGACAGTCACAAGTGAATAGATGCAACCTAGCAAACACATTCAACTAAGAATACACCATTGAAGTTTGCCCATTGAGCACAAACACAAATTTGAATTTTGAACATGAGAAAAAATTAAATCCGAACAGGTGCAAAATTTGAATTTCAACAGGCACCAGAAATTAAATTTTGGGTAAAAATTTCGAGCTCAATTCATTAAACGAATTTTCTCCAAAAGGATAAAGATGGGTCTAAAACACACCCACACCTGTACCCGAGCCGGGCGGGGTCGGGATTATGGCAAGGCGGGTGACGCATGGACGTGTGGTCGAACCAAAGGCATGTAGTCGCTCACTCCACCCATTGAGCAAACTTGACATACATATACACAAGTCAAATTTCTTCCTCAACCAATGTGAGATTAGTGTCAAATCTCACATTGTACAATCTCTATTTCCATAATCCAAAAGGGCCACTTTGAAGCCTATTTTCTCATTCATTTCTTACTTGATTTGAGTAAGTGAATATACTACGTTATGCTCTTCATGGAATAGAATACAAACCCATAAATTTTTACTCGAAATAACAAACGGGTCCCAATTTAATTTAAGCTCAAAATCGATCAAAAATTCTAATTTTAAGATATAAAAACTATTTTGGTCCAACAATCCCCTCTAAACGAACCAAATCCTTTTCCCCAAAAAAAGGAATAAAAGAAGGGGCCAAGGTCCCCCACTACTACATATCTTTCCTCAAGAAAACACCCATTGACAATCTTTTACTGTTACAATTAGTTCAAATTTATTCAACATCAAATTTCTTTCTATCTTTCCTTCCCACTTAACCAAACAAAAAGAATGAAAGACTCACTTCCATTCCCTTGAGAAACATGCTCACTCAAATAAACATAATGATTGTAAGCTATCCTTAATTCAATTTAAATAAGAGCAACAAATTATATCAGATTTTGAATCTAAGCATGAGATCTTGTAATGTATAAGAGGCATACATAATCTTTAACTCTGTCTTGGTGGATTACTATAGGCAATATTAGTTTGACAATTAAAGAAAATTAGAAGATAACAAACAAAAAAAAAATCCAACACATATTATCATGGTACACAAACCTTCCAAATCCCCAAAATAGAACAAAAAAGCAATCTTTAATACCCCTTAGACACCCCATCCTCTTATGATTATAAAGAGGAAGTATAGCTGAAAAAATTATAAATAACAAAAAAAGGCATAAATAAGATGTCCTAGAGGAGTAAATATTGGATTTAAGGTTATATCACGTCAATATTATCAAATGGTATAATCATGCAATGATAAATAAACAAATAGGTAAAATGGACCTCAATTCTTCAAAGAAACATCCCTCCACGTAAGATAGTAAGCACCACACTCAAAAAGTGAGTTTCACTTGTCCATTTATTTATTTATTATTGTAAGATTACACCACATGACAATACTGATGTAGTGTAACTATTACACCTAATATTTACTCGCCATAGAAAGAGCCTTAGCACATGGTGAATCCATTGCTGACCGAGCATTTGGAAAGTCTACATTCCCAACTTCCATTACTCACTTCCCAAGATAGAACATGAGCGATAAAGGATTAGGAGAAGACTGACTTTGAATGAACATAGTCCTCCTCATTGAAAAATGTTAAACCTACAAAAATGGCCCCATTTAGAGGGTTGTAAGAGAGGGAAAGGTTAAGATTTCAGTTTCAATGATTTGAAATTAGAGAAAGATTTGGATTGAATTGAAGAGGATAAGAGACGAGGATATTGGGCATTCCCTGTCAATCTTTTGCAGAGAAGGGCTCTCCCTATCAATCTTGCACATCGACAAATTATAGTTTGGTATGTATTGTTCTTCTGATGCACACAACCTTCTCTCTCTCTTTTGGAAAAAACCTCCAATTGATATTTTGTAATAAATAGCATTGGGTAAGGATGAGAATTGAACTCAGTAGCGTCTTGGTGGTTGTTAGGTAGTTCTCAGGTACAAAGATCTCTATCTTCATGACCCTTTGAAAAGTTTAATAAAAGTTTCATCCTAACATGACCGTGCACTTAAGTTCAAACTCAAAAATAAGTTAGAATTATATTTCGTTCATTTAATTAAATGAACTAAGTCAAGTCAAGTCCAAATTTTTTAAATAAAATATTAGAATAATAAATTTATGTTTAAACAAGATGATTAAAACTTAACACATCTCAAGACAAGCCAAAACACTCTTCATGCACGAGTTGATTAGTCATCTGGTGTTTAGTTCGATAAGGTTAATCTCGACAGTTAGCAAGAGGGGAAATTGATCACTACCAATAATCAAAATTGAAAACAATAAAAAAAAATATAAAAGTATAATTTCGAAAAGAATCACATTCCAAAAATCGTAAGAAAATACAAATGGGGTGTAGTTCCAAAATTCTTTGGCACCTGTACTGTCCCCTGTCTCGTTCTCTCTTTCTTTGCCCAGTTTGTCCTCCTAATCCAATCCAGGTGTTATTCTATTTTGCCATTTGTCCTAAACCTTATGTCATTACCAATACCACATTCTCATCTGTCCCATTCATCAATCCCAAAATATCACATTCACCTCACCGGTCACCAACTCGAGCACTTGCCCACCACGTGCCAACACAAAAGCAGCCCCTCCAAGAAAGAAAAGAGAACCCTCTCTCCGTCTCCCACACTCAATCGTCAAACCCTATCTCCTCTGTTTCTCTCTCCTTTTGTTTCCTTTCCATCGAACCAGTATTCTCTCTCTCAACGATAATTCATCGATTCTTCGGATGAAATCCAACGAAATCTTCGACTCTAGGTTTTTTATAACCTCAAATTCAAGCTCAGTTTGATGTTACTTTCAATAAACAAACCCTAGAATTTATTGTTCGAGCATGGAGGGCCCTGCGGAGGATCTCGGAGCCCCACCGGATTCATGGGAGGTCGTCGACCTAGACGCGAGCATGAAGAAATTGATGCTCTCCGGGAAAACACTGTCGTCCACTTCTCCTCCTGAGCTTCCCGCTTCAGCTACGAATTCGGCTTCGTTGGCTACTTCAACTTCGGCGTCATCTGTTGGTGTTTCAGAGGATTTGATTAACTCGGTGGATCAGTTTCTTCGTGAGGCTATACAAAACCCTCGAGAGCGACTCTCAGGTGAGTTTCGGCGATTTTCGTCTTTAAATTATAATTTGGTCCGTTAGCTTATTAGCCATTGATTATGCTGTTTGAAGACTGTGACTATGGGCCTTTTTTGTTCTTTGTAGAATTCTGGTAATTGTACTGTTTATTTGTCTACCCTCCTCACTCGTTAAATATTAAATTCAGCAATTTGATGTCTTGGCGTACTGGGCTACCAAGTAGTAGGCGCCAAGGTTTGAGTCCCACCATGGGTGGGATGGGGTACAGGGATTCAATATTCTTTGCTAAGAATTCAAAAAAAACATTGATAGGGGGTGGACAGACGATACAGATGTACAATGACAAAGAGAATAGAAATGAAACAACAGGCTGAGGATTGTTTTTGGCTCAGAAACATATAGGCCCCATCGGATCAGTGCTAGTGTGAATATTGAAGGCAGCTTCTGAGTGCAAGATGTTCCTATGTATTTCAATGTAGATTAATGAGAATTCCTTACAATTTTTATTTTTCATAGAATCTCATGTTTATGGCATTAGATTTTGCTTATTGTGATTCGTGAATTTACATTGTTAACTGAGTAAGAAATGCTAGTCTTGTATCTACACATTTATACACCTATGTTTTAGATCAGCCCAATTAATAATTTCAGTAAAAAAAAAAAAAACCTAACGAAAAATGTCGTGTGTCATCATGGAAAAATCATATGGGCAGTGCCTTTTTCTGTAAAAAATTACCACCTCTATCAATTGATCTGGGTGATGCTATGGGGAAAATTAGGTAGAAAATTTGTAGATCGTTTAAATATGATGTATCGTTCTTTCATGTTTGGGATTTGAAAATGTAGATTGTTAGCATATTCCGGTGACTGTAGCGTATATACATATTGTGAATTAGGACGTGATCATAATGCGAGGATTAGGAGAGCATTTGTGAATTTAGTTGTGTTTGAAACTTCATTCTTCATTATGTTTGCTGCTGCTGTCCAATTTCCATCACCTTGAGTGTACTAGTATTTATTATGATGGTGATGTCGGATAGATTTTCAGTAATTAAATAACTTCCTTTTGGGTTGTCTCCAAAAAATTTCTTTGGCTTCCCCATGTCTTTCGTGATAGCTCTTGGAGTAATTCATAGGACCAGGATGAAGACATACTTATAATATAAGGTGCAGGCAACCTTTCACTTGGGTAGGATCTAAAATAGTTCCACATAGAAGAAAGAACCAGTCTGGGGTAGACTGTTTGAGGTTATGATTCTTTTTTCCTTACATTTGTTTTCATCGGGCTTAAGATTTTCTACTTGAATGGCTCTCTTCATCAAGCTTAAGCTTTTATACTTGAATAATTGTATTATGTTCTTTAGAAAAAAGTTGTTTGTAGTTGCAATCCAGAAACAAATCGGTTCCTATTTTGGACCCAATCACCTGTTTGAAGCCTGAATTTTCAGACAAGAACTTTTGATCGCAACAGGGTTTGCGTAGACAAGCTGGACAACAATAAAATCCTATCTATTTCTGCCACGTCAACATGCACAAGCCCCTGTTTCTTTTCTTGGTTTTTTCTTTATTTGTTGGTTACAGTCCTCATGGAGTATTTTGTTGAAGTAGTAAATTGGATTCTATGTCTGGCTTCTAAGTTTTAACTGATCATAGGGTTCTGTTTATGCATGTATGTTTATGTTTCATTATTTACTTCTCTATCCTAGAAATTGGTCTCAATATTGTTGACCGTTGATGTGTGTACAAATGAGAGTTCATGTTGCTGTATCATCATGAACATTACATTTCACCAGCATTGTCATTGCTCTAATATTTTAACTAGGATGTAATTATAACCTGTTACTATTTATGTACCGAAATTTACATTTTGGTTTTTGGCCTTTTTTTTCCATACAAATGAAGATTTCCAATTTGTGTTGTTCAGTTCTACGGATGGAGCAGGATGTTGAGAAGTTCATTCGGGATCCTACTCGACAACAAATGGAGTTCCAGCAGCTGCCTACTTCCTATCTGCGGTTGGCTGCACATCGTGTTGCCCAGCACTACTCACTGCAGTCAATGGTTTTGTTGGACAACAATGTACCTGATGGTTCTGGTTCCAGAATTATTGTCCGCAAGCCTTCTGAATGTCAGCTTCCTTTAATTCGTCTGGCAGACATTCCTGTAAATTTACCAACAGAAGATAGTGGTGCCACAAAGGTGGCAATTAAACAGAGGCCACAGAGACGGTCACAGGTTGTCAACAGTGCCAATTCACATTCCTTAAAGACCAATAATTCCAAAAGTGTAGAGGAGAGAAAGGAGGAATATAACAGGGCTCGTGCACGGATATTCAACTCTAGCAGTTTTAGTGGGAGTTCTGGTGTGAAACCAGAAATTGAACAAAGGACACAGGATAACATCCAACGTGTTTCACTGGGGCTATCAAAGGCAGAAGAAAAATCTGTTCCAGGAGGATCTGATGTGAATATTGGCAGAGGTTCAGTTGATTCTTTAGCAGGTAGCAGTAGATTAGCTAGAAATAGGACAGAGGATCCAGTTGGTAGGTTTAGACCTAATAATCGGGTGGCTATCTTCCGGGACCGTGAAGTTGACCGCAAGGATCCTGATTATGACAGGAATTATGACAGGTATGCATCTCTCTCTCTCTCTCTCTCCCCTGAGAAAATAATATTAAATGATACTAATGTTTTCAGGATAATTTTTTTCATCTCTTTGAGAATGGAGTTTGCTCATAAATTTCTGAACAATTTCCAAGGCGTAAATTTTTTGCCCCCACATTCAGTGCTATCAAACTATCACAATTCCTATTAGGAATGGTAAGGAAGCCCATTTTTCCATTTGCATGTTACCGATACATGTGCTGACCATGATCTTGAGGCAAATTTTATTACCCTTTAGTCTTATTCTCCATAACAAGATAATCTCCCTTTAAGGCTACTTTTATTACCCTGTAGTCCTTTCTTTGTTATTATCTCCCTTTAAGAGGTGTTGTTGCTTTTGTGACCATCCACATGGATCATGGGTTGGGAATTTTGTTGGCTTTGAAATACACATGGGACTGATGGATTGATGGCTCTCTCTCCCTGTAATATACCTAATTTAAAGCAGCTGTGGGATCCACAGAACCTTCCCCTCACACTGATGTGGATACCTCCTTCGTCTTTGGCATAATGCTCTATTTTTGTGGCTTAGTTATTTTTTCCATGCTGGAAAGGTCATCCATTGTATTTCTGGAGGAGCAATTAGCCTTTGGTGGATGGAGATGAAAACTACCTTTTGTAACCTGTTTAGATTCTAAATATTCATCAACAAAATAATAATAAATCTAATATACTTGGTAGATGAAGAAAAGTGAACATTATTATTGTTTTATCAGTTAGCCTTTAACTAACAGTAATAATGTCTTCTCCCAGATATTTGCAAAGATTTGATCCTGGGTTTGGGTTCAATGGAGGACCATATACCATACAGCCTATGTACTCTCCTGCATTGAACTACAACACTGAATTCCCACAACTTGGATCTGCTCATAGGCCCCCCATTTCTACTGAACATCAACCGCGGCCGCTCCCTCAGCATCTACCTGGGTCATGGGCTGCACCATCAAACCCTCTTGGATTAGGATATGGTCCTCCTGAGACCATGATGACTCAATTTAGTCCTAATCATGTTGTTGGGCGATCCACTTCTGCTTTATACTTGCACTCCACTCACTATCCTAGTCAGCTCCCTGGAATGCCCTTCATCCATCCTCATGAGCAGGGTCACCAACCCTTTTCTCAGGTATGTCAACTTTGTTGGCTGTTTTTTTAGTACTGTTAACTCACTTTGCTTAGCTTATTAACATTGTAGTCAACACTAATGATTCCCCTCGTGTATTGGAGAACAGGGATACAGGCATTGCCTGTAAGGCAAAACGTTTGTAGTGAGCTATACTTTCTATGCTTTTTTCAGCAATTTAGTTTTGCTCCTTTTAATGAGTTGCCACGGTGCTCAAACTATGACCCCCTCTCCCCCAATATAACTGGAAAAAAAAAAAATGAAACAGGTTGTTTGCTTGATCCTGACAATACTGTCATTAGCTAGGATTGATTGGTTTTTTATTTCATCTTTCAGAATAGTTGATGAAATACAACTTCTATATAGATCTCTCCTCCCTCTTCCCCGTTCTCCTTCCTTCTTTGTAGATAGGATGCAATTTTTAGCCAAACTTATATTGCTTGTTAAAATTGATATTTCACTAGTGATTAAAGATACAGAAAAAGAAAAGAGAAGGAACAGTATATATATATATAGATAGATAGATATATGGAATCAAACTAATTATATTGTGATCAAAAAGTAATGAATAAACTTCAATGTCACCAACCTAAAAATTTACAATCTTGATAATTCACACATTTTTATCTGGATATCTGATAACATCGTATTTTATTTTATCTTCTGCTGTTCATTTCTAATTTTAGATGCTTTGGTTATCATTTTGTTGTCCATCTCTTTGCAGTCTCATCAGCTACAACCTGACACAAGTTTTGGATTAGCCCGGCCCCGGTAAGGGGCCTGGGCCATGCCTGCACCCTGCCAGAGTGAGGTCAAGCTTGGAATGTGGCGTTTTGCTATAAGTGTGTGGTGCATGTATCACAACTGGCAAGGGTGCAGGCATACCGAGGTGGGCTGAAATGGACTTTAATCTCGCAGACACCATCTTTTTCTCAGCCCACCACTTGCGGTTTCAACAGAGCTTCTTGCATTTATGTTGAAGCTCACTGGTCCTGGCAATGCAATTGTTTGAATGAGGTCCCTGTGTGCTTTGCCTCTGACGAAGATGACGAAGACAAAAGTAGGACGAGAAATTACCAGAGCTGGGAACACATGGCCTTTGTTTGGATGAAGGTATTCCTCAGCCTATTCCCTATTGTTGTATCCACTGTTTGTTCTTTTCTTAAGCTATTATCTGTTTCAACTTTGCTTAGGCGTTTTGTTCCTTGTCATTCAAATTTTAACAAAAAATGCTATACCATTCCTGTTGCAGCGCACCATAAAGCTCCACTGGGAATATGATTTGAAGAATGTTTCAGGAAGTTGCTGCCTTTTGAGTTTGGCATATGGGAGCCTTGGTGTGACGCGAACTGTCTTTCAACGAAGCTCTGGTCATCACTTTTTCTTTACAGCAAAATTAGTCTGCCAAAATAAGATAGTAAACCACATGATGTATCCTACAAGTCCTTGTTTTGGTCTTTAACTATGTGTTTCTTTGGGTAAGTAGCCTTAAACTGTGTGACGGCACTTTCAGATATTTGGACCTACGTGCAATGCACTGTCTTGTGCTTCTGAAGTTATTCTCTCTCTCTCTCTCTCTCTCTCTCTCTCTCTCGTCTCACACACAAAAACACAAAAAATGCGCCCCTGCACATTTAGACTTCTCTCACCAGGCGAAAGAGACCTGGGCCCTGATAAGAAGCTGATTAGCCAGCCAGATATCACCTGGCATACGGAATTTTGTTGTAATTTGTTTACAGGACGAGGATTCGAGATGTGTCAAAAGAACTGCCTTCTATCCAAAGAACTGCTCTTTTAGGTTCCAATTAGTGCCCAAATGTTTGGTATTTTAATTTGACCATTTGGCGGTGCCTTTCTTTCGGCCATATTACAGATGGTTCAGCAAGTGAGTAGAGGAGGGGAAATTTCGTGTTTCTTAGAACATTTTTTTTTTTTGGGGGGAAATCAGAGGCATGGTTTCACGTGGGCATGTTTTGCCTTTTGGCCGACTTGGCTTTTGGTGGATTCCACGCACACCGAGGGCATTATGTAAATGTATTAGTTATTGCTTATGTTTGAAAGTATAGAATAATAATAAATATATTTATATTTACACTCAAAATTAAATTACAAACATAGAGGAAAGAAAAAAAAAATTAAATATTAACTATAGTGAGGGTGAGTAATAATAGTGGTGACGGGTGACAGTGGTGATGGTATAAGACGGTGATAGTTGTGGCAGGTTACAAAAATTGTAGTTGTGGGTGCAACGGTGATAGTGGTGGTGAGTTTTGGGTGACAATGGTGGTAATGACAGTCATGAATGACGGCGGCGGCGATAGTGGGTGTGGGTGGTGGTGAGCAACAGTAATAGTGATGGTAGGGGTGACAATGATGGTAGTGTCGGTGGTGGGTTGTGGTGGTGAGTGGTGACGATGGTGGTCGTGGGAGATGACAGGTACTCCTAGGCGACAATATTATGGGTGATGGTGAATGGTAAATGTAGTGGAGGTGGGTGACAATGGCTAACAATGATGATGAGCGACGACGGGTGGTGGTGGGTGTTGACGGTAGACGATGGTGATAATGAGATGATAGTGGTAATAGTAATAAATATAAGAATGAAATAACGATAGTGGTAAGTAGACGACGATGGTAACAATCAGTGGTGGTGGTGGTGGTGGTGGTGGAGGGGGCAATGAGGATACAGTGGCGATGGTAGTGGTGGTGGTGGCGATAACAACGATGGTGGTTGTGGTGGTGGGGTGACGACAACAACGATGATGATTGTGGTAGTGTTGGTGGGGACAATAGGGGGGACAGTAGGGATGTAGTGGCGGCGATGGTGGTGATGTTTATGGTGGTGGAGTGGTGACAGTGATCATGATGATAGTGATAGTAATCGTGGTTGGGATGGTGTGGGGTGGTGGGAATAAGGGTGGGGTCGCAACAGTGGTGGTGGAGTGGCGGGGTGGTGGTTGTGGTGGTAATGGTGATGGTGGTGGTGAGACGATTCTAAATATTACTTTTTTTTAAAGTACTTATGAGAAATTATAAGTTTTAAAAATATTTTTAAAAAATTATTCCAAACACACTTTAACTGACTTATTTTTCTTATTAAATTTGAAATATTAATATTAATTATCAAATTAACTTTAAAATAAAATTTTAAAAAATCTTAACCATGAAAAATAAAAATTATTTTAATTATCTTTTAAAATTTAAATTGTATTACATAAATAATTCGCAAATACAAGATTTTATGCATGAACATTTGCCTTTTTAACCATTCAGCTAACTGTTTTTACGATTCTTCTTGTTTTGTAACTTGGGGAAGACGAGAAATGATCTTATTCACGTGATTCTTCCCCTAACCCTCACACTTCTGCGCTTGTAGCTCTAATTCACTAATTAAGCGCAAATTCAAGACACCTCTATGCTCCCATTTTACTTAATTCACGAATTCAAAATTTAACTCAAGACCTAAAGTTTAAAACCCAAAATTTGGTTGGCTCAATGGACACCTAAGAAAAGTTTCTCGCGCACCAAATAGCAATAGCCCCCTCTGCCAGAGAGCATTAATGGGTCCTTTGCTTATATATAGGGAATGAGTTGCCTACAAGTTGTCTTGAACTTCCGATGTGGGGCAAACTCCAGGCATAAAAATGTCTACCATGTGCAGTAACTTTTCCTTGTCCTTCCGATGTGGCATGACTTCCAGCCTTCTCAATTCATTATTGTTGCCAACTTTGTATGTATTAAATTATTTTTTAATTTTATTTTCAAGAAATTATATATATAATATAATACTCTCAAAGCGCTCCCACTCTGAGATTTTTTTAAAATTTTACATTTTTACACTTATTCTTGCTCTCATTTCCGCTCTATTTGACTTAGGCTATGATATCGTCTGCGACACATATCACACACTTTATGACATCACTTTATGACATCACATGGTTCATTGTCGGTCTTAATTATAAGTGAGAAGAGGTCGGATGTAGTGCTCATCTTCCCGACTCATACATCCTCCAAAAAAAATTTGACTATTTATCGTGCCAATGGACACGATTTTTACTATCAATTTAATATTACAGTTAAAAGTTGAATTCTCAATTTATAAAAATATAAAAAACGGTTAAGATTAATCTAATTTTTATTTAACGGTATAAAATTCATACCAAATTTCTTTTTTCCGCTTAAAAACATCATACTCTAATGCTAGACAATCCAATCAACACACTCTTCAATGTTAAACAACTCAATCAACACTCTCTAATGTTAAACAACTCAATTAACACACTCTCTAATATCAAACATAAGAGCATCTCTAATCATTTTCCTTTTTTAAATCCAAATTTAAATATCAATGCTAAACTCATACTCATTATCAAATCAGAAATTTTTTTTTTACTCAAATCAAAAGAGACTCATATTCATACTCAAATATTTAATGGTAAAATTTCACCCTCCTAAAGATTCAATTGTCATATTTTGCCGTCTTTTAAATTTAATTTTATCCTCATTTAAATTTAAATTTAAATTTCTCTTTCTTTAAATTTGAATTTTTTTATTGAAAATGTCTATTCCAAATCAAACTTTTTTGTCTTTTTTTAACTCAAATTTAGGTAATAGTTTAGGTATCCATTGTAGATGGTCTAATCCGGACATTTCTCTCCTCTTCCTCTCCTTCCTCTTTCTTATTTTCTCTTGGTACGCTTTAATTTTAAATTGCTTAACTAAAAAAATATATTAAAATTAATTATTATTTAATATGTAAATAATGTATGATCAATATTCAATTTTTGGTATTATTAAATATATGAAGACATGGAGTTGTTGCTAGTGATCATATCTGAGGATGGCACTGCCTACCATCTGGCTAATGCTTCCTCACATGAAGAAACAAAACTCTCCCCACCCCTCAGCTGTCTTCCGTGATCACAACCTTGCTTGCACAAGCATAGTTTCACAGCTAGAAGACGCCATCTCTCTTACCTTTTCTCTCATTTTGGACGTATATCGACATTCCGACTGCCCCCTGTTTTGTTCCCCCAGTCTCTCTTTTAGCACCTTTTGTACTGCACACAAGCAACTTCCTCGTGCAGCAGTCTTAAATCAAGAGAAAAGGTAAGCTTCTCTTTCCACCTTCAGGGTTCAAGTCTCGTGTACAACGAACGTCTTTTTAAGAGGAAAGGCAGACGAGAGGGCTTTGCAGATTTGGCGTTTTGCTATTTTAGATGAACCATGAAGTTTCAGTGTGCTTCCATCATAAGAAGCTGTAATCCTTGAGCAATTGATGCATATATATATATACATCTCACAAGCTATGGAAAATAACCTCAACTCTGCTTAATGAGCTCTGCCTCCTCTCCTGTTCTTATTTCTTGAAGGCTGCACGCACAGGTTGGCCTTCGCCTGTCTTTCATTTCATTCCCCTCGGGAAGATTCTCAAGGGTATGCTATCTTTATTCTTTCTAGCAACTTCTCTCTTCAGTTTCCTCCAAAACCGATAACTATGGGGATATCTGTAATCTGTCCTGCTATGAAGCACACTCTTTCTGAGTATATATATCACTGGTCTTTACTTGCTTTCCTGTTTTCCACATAAATTGTACAGTTCTCGATCTATTATATTATTCTCAAATTTATTCTAATTTAAAGTACTAACTATGTTTCAAATAGATGATTCATTTTTAGTAAATGATGATCGAAATAATTACATGCCTTGTCTATCATATTTCGTCTGTTCAGAGGCAATACAATAAAATAGGCATGGACAAGCAAAACTCAGAGTTGTATCTGCAAAACTGCCACATAATTCGAGAGAACGAGAAGTTAAGGAAGAAAGCTCAACGGCTCAACCAAGAGAACCAGGCACTGTTATCACAGTTGAAGCAGAAACTCTCAGAAACAAACTCCACCCAGAAACCTGAAGTTGAGTTCAACCTTAGCTCCAGTTCCACCAGTTCAATGAATTGTAGCAAACCCCGGCCACGAGATTACAACTAAAACCTCCACCTCTTCCTGTAGCATATCGTGTAAAACTATGGATATTGAAAACAGTTATTTAATGTCTTTCCTTCCACAACAATATTTGTTACCATCACATGAGCCCACATTTTATTATCTTTATTTTTCCAGACAAAATAATGTTATAGGAGTTATATGCATATGGAATAAATGCATATAATCTTCTACACCCTCCCTCTCAGCTCTCTGTTTCAACAAAATTATAAAGAAAAAAGTTAGTCCTAATTGGGGCTAAAAATAAACTTAAATCAGCATTTTTCAAGTAGTTTTGTGGTGAACTTACTAATCAATGTTTAGTTTATTGTCTATGTGTGAGAATGTTTGGTAGAATGCCTTGAAATGCTTGTAAGCAATGTCAACATCTTTCTTCCCACATATCTCTCTCACACTGCAATTAAGAAAAAATAGTAGCTCAGCTGGAAATAAAAAAGCAGCAGAAGAATTGTTGAAACTTCAGATTGATATCGATGGGACATGTCTTATAATGTCATACACATGGAGATGCCAACTGGAATCACATTATACAACAATGGACATATAATGTCCTTATTTATGTAAGCACCCATCAAATAATTAATAAACATTCAACCAATCGTGGACTGCAGTTACAGTCGCCAGTTAAAAGGCAACCTTCACAGCCATAAGACAATTCTGAAGTTGTAGCATATGCTTTAAGCTTGCTGATAACATATATGAAACTACAAGAGGTAGAACATGACATGAGTTTTAACCTGCTCCTAAGTTAGACCATGTGGAAAGGTTGCGCAAGGAATCAACTATATGCCGCCATTGGTCAGGCAAGGTTGTGTTGACTTGACTATATCTCAGATCCCTGTATGGATGTTTTAGCCTGATATCACAATCACATATTCCACCAAAACCCGTTGGTGGTTGTCTTTCTCACACAAGCAAGTGCATCAAATATCACAAAATTGGAAGCTACTAACATCCTCCTCTTGTTAATACAACTCGACCAATTATAACGATTTGAAGATTAACCTTTTTACTTAAGCTCTGTTTGGATACTGGATAATAACAAGGAATTCAAATGTTTTAAAACGGCTTCATTTCTATGCAAATTTTAACATCTTCCCTTTCTTTCCCATCTTGTTTTTTACTTTTGAATGAAGCCTCAAGGTATAATATACAAATTCAAGAAAGCAAATAATTTGATACCTGTGCATGGATAGCTGAGCAATGCCGCAATCAACAGTACGAATCCCAACCCCTGAAGCAAGTATGGGACCTATAGTAGATCCACATCCCATATCATTTCTCACCACAAACTCCTGAGCAGAAACAAAAATACAGGTTTGTATGTTATTGTCGCGACAAAATGAATACAAGTACAGAGTTCACACATCAAGCAAGTAGTATTTTTATCTTTGGGGCAGAGATTTTTCTACCCAAATAAGAAAGGGCACTCTTAAGTTACCGGGAAATATTTATACAAATTTTTCATCATTATTACACATTTGTGGCAAGGCAATTGATATTTGACAAGCCAATTATCACAGCCTTTAAGACGGATTTGAGATTTCTTGTCCGCCTTATTGATCCATTTTGCTCAGATTTCTGTTATTAACACTTTTATCACTTTTGCCTGCAATCACCTGAGTTGGAAGGTTATGAACTTTTGCAACTTCTTTGAAAAGAAAAGCTGTAACTCCACTTGTAGCATAGCGCTGGTTTGCATTGTGTTTAATGACAAGGCCCTTTTGCAATTCTGGTCGATGGTGTTCTTCATGCTTATCCATGAAATTAGGGTGGACTCCATGTGCCATGTCAGCAGACACTGCATTCAATTGTTTTAAAATACTCAACTTTAAGTTGCACAGAAGATAGAGAGCAAAATGAAACCAAAAAAAAAAAAATACAAACAAAAGAGTAATTGGATGCATATCATATAATTAGAAAGAAAAACCATTTAACCTATTTTCATTCAGCTTTTGCCATGTCATACGATATCCATATTGGAATTAATCACCAAAATATAGCAATTTTTAAGCAAAATTATCAAACTACGGCACTTTTAAACTTATTTACTAAACTACGGCACTTTTTGAAAGCGGATTCAATAATTCCGCTTTTATTATAAAGCAGATTCAATAATTCCGCTTTTATTATAAAGCAGATTCAATAATTCCGCTTTTGACCCCTTTTTAAAAAAAAAAAAAATTTGGACATTGATGAAAGCGTGTTTATTAAACACGCTTTCTATGCTTTTTCTGAAAAGTGTGTTTCTTAAACATTTGGTTCTTGATTTTTCTGAGTTTTGCAAAACTTAAGAGGCAAAATCCTTTACCTCACTTTGACACAAATCACCTCCAGGTAAAACCATCGCACAACAAATGGGTATTGAAGCAAAAGTAAAAGCCTTACCCACTTCGATTCAAGCCAGCAATCCAAAGATGAATGAGAGACAAGAGAGATGATCGAGAGGTGAAGGGTTTTTCTGAGTTTTGCATTTGGTTCTAGATTTTGATGATGGGTAAGTTCTTTCAATGCTTTTGGATCGGTCTACCAATCTAGATATCTTGAACCGCCAAAAGCAGATATCAGAATTTGTGTGTTGTACGTTGGTTTCATTTGTTTTGTGATTGGATTAGACCCCATTGATGTTGGCTGCAATGAATGAGAAGATTGCCTGCGTAGAAAGCGTGTTTATTAAAAACGATTTCATCGGTGCCCTAATTTTTTTTTAACAAAAAGGGGGGGTCAAAAACGGAGTTATTGAATCCGCTTTCAAAAAGTGTCGTAATTTGGTAAATAAGTTTAAAAGTGTCTTATTTTAGTAATTTTGTTTAAAAATTGCTATATTTTAGTGATTAATTCATCCATATTACATACTGACCCTGGAGCTTCTATAATCATAACACTGTTGGAACTTGTCAGCCCACCTCACGCCTGCTCTAGTTCCCAATCACTTTTTTGTACTCTCAAAAAGAATAATAAATTTGCCCCAAACTTTTTTAATAATCTTCAAAAAATGAAATTTGGCCAAGAGAAAGTTAGGGAAAGAGTAGACTCACTTGGTTTTTGGCCAACAGAAAGAGTGGTTGGCAAATCAAAAATAGAGTAACAAATTCACATTAATCTACAACAAAAAATCAAAAATAATTTATTATAGAGAAGTTACAAACAAAGAGTAACGTAAAACACGCGAGCGTGTCCCTTCTTTTGACTGTCAAAATGGACATGAGACAGCGCATGATACATCTTGCTCTTGGTGCCCCTCAACCATCCGTAGGCCAACAAGTCTTTGACCTACAAACTCATTTGCCATCACCACACTACAACAGCTGCTTTAATCTTAAGAAATCACGATAAACCAATATTCTATCCACTTCAGAATCGTTTCCATAGAAATAACCAAGAATAAAACCAACCTCAGCAACTCCTTTTCCTGCCACAAAACGACACAGTAACCAACACTCTATGACCACTATCTATGATGCAAAGCAAACAGAGACAAAGAAGTATGGTCTTGGCCCTCGAGGACTTCTAGCCAACAGACAAATGCCATCAATATTCTTAGATTGAGAACCTAGGAAGCACAGACACTTCATTTTGGTCAGAGTGTCGGTTTCAAACATGTCTGGGATACGAACACGCTCGAACATATTATAATGAGTGTCCCATTTTTTTATTGTTAAATTTTTTTTAGGACACGTTGGAAACATGTGGCCGACACACCAAGGACACGCTCGAGGACATGTTTTGTGATTTTTTTTTTAAAAATTTAAAATTTGTCCAACAACTTTATAATCAAAAAAATTATTTTGTATTTTAAATAAATACTAGTTATTGCTTGTGTCTGACATGGAATAATAAAAAAAATTATCAATCATATACATATTTGTATTCATAGTCAAAATCAAATCACAAATATAGAGGAGAGAGAAAGGAATCTAAACACCAGTTGTAGTGGGAGTAAACAGTGGTAGTGGTGGTGGTGGGAGATGGTGATAGTTGCGGTGGACAGCAACAACCGTGGTGGTGGGGTAGTCGTGGGTGGCAACAGTGATGATGGCGGTGGCAGTCGTGGGTGACAACGGTGATGGTGATGGTGGTGGTGGGTTTTGGATGACGATGATAGTAGTGGCAGTCATGGGTAACAACAGTAATGGTGGGTGTGGGTGGTGGTGGTGGTGGTGGTGGTGGTGGGTGTAGTGGAAGTGGATGACAGTGGTGGTGGCGAGTTATGGTGATGGGTGATAGTGCGCAACAATGGTTGTGGTAAGTGGTGACGATGGGCGATAATGGTGGTGGAATGATGGTGATAGTGATAATAAATATAAGAATGAGATGATACTGATAGTGAGTGACGATGGTAGCAATCGATGGTGGGTGACGACGGTTGTAGTAGTGGTGGTGGTGGATGGCGATGGCAATGGCAATGGCGATGGTTGTGGCAAAGGTGGTAATTGAATGGCGGTAACGGTAGTGGTGGGGGTAGTGGTGGAGCGATGTCGGTGGCAATGGGTGGTGATGGCGATGATGGTGGGGTGACAACGACGGTGGTGGTGGTGCAGTGTTTTATAGAGAAGTGATTTTAAAGAAGTCGAAGTTATTTTTTTTACTTTTACTTACTTATTTAAGTGGTAAAACTACTTTTGACTTTTTTTGAAGTAATTAAAATAAATTGGTCCAAACACTATTTTTTTTTTTAAAGTACTTGTGAGAAGTCATAAGTCCTAAAAACACTTTCGAAAAGTCACCCTAAACACACCCTTAAGGGATCTATTTTCTCTATTAAATTTGGAGAGTTAATATTAGCCGTCGGATTAACTTTAAAGTAAAATTTTAAAACGATCTCAACCAAAAAAAAGCAAAAGTCATTTTTAAATCTTCAATCTTTGTACTTTATTATATAGATAGGTCAAATGCATAATGTAGAAAGAGCTATAATCACTACATGAACATAAGACATGGATATATAATAATTTCAAAGACAACTATAAAATTATATACAAATGAAATAAACTTTCTATATGAAAAAAATGTGATGAAAAATAGATTATGAAATTGGGGCTCTTTGAAATTTATAAAAATTAGGGTTACGATTTAGGATATTTTTTGAAATGAAAATTGTAGTAATCATTGATTGTTGGGTCATGAATTTGTATCAGTATATATGATATTTAATTTTTTATTTAATGATATCATGATGTGAGTTGTTAGAATTAAAAAAAATGATGAATTGAATGATTATTATCAAAATATATTTAGCTTATCCACATTGTATCATAAGTTCACTCCATAATGCCTTGATCAAAAAGATCGGGTGATCTATACTTAAAAATCTATGCTACACAAACACAAATACAAACACATACACGTAGATAGATGATGCATATACATTTTAGATTTTACAAACTTAGTGTCTCAATTAATCATGATCAGATATAAATGTGCAAGTTGTGTTTCAGTCATAAAATAAAGCTCCAAAGACATATAATAGTGGAATACCAAGTTATCCCTTAGAGAGGAAGGTTTTTGTCGAAGGCTAGGACTACACATTAGTTCATACGACATACATAAATGAAGAAAATTAATTATTCTTTTCTTCACTTCATCACTAAAGATGATATTCTATTCAGCCAAAAAAAAAAATGTAAATAATACAAGTAAATATAGCCTGTATCATCTATACTACTATAAAATGTCAACAAAAGTGAAAAAAATTTGATTGACTAAAATAACCGTAATAAAGTCAAACTATCTTTTGTGTACTTAATAACATCTTTTAATCATTTAATTATTGCTGTAGTAAAAGCATTATCTATATCTATATCTTGATTTATTATATTGCACCAACATTTTTAAATATCCATACATGTCAAATGCTTTTGATTAAATAATTCTATAATGTCATTTTTAATATGCACGACTTCTCAAATCCAAGTTTGTTTTTCACTAAAATGTAACTTATTTAACTTTACTATGGAAACTTTTAACATTCTATGATTACTAATATTCATCTATTCAATTGGTAAAATGTAACTTAACTATCTAAACTTTTGACATTCTTGGGCTACTCATATGTATCTATTCAATCACCAATGGGCCTTTGGTCCAATAGTACTCCTTGCCTTATGAAGGTTTTGCCTTCTTCAGGTCAAGGATTCAAGTCCCCATCCCCCCTCCCCCTCCACCTACACCTCCATCTCCCCAAAAAAATATATATATATTTATTCAATTAACAAAATCCGATTATGACCATAGAATGTATTCAATGTATACATTATACTTAATTGAAGGGAAAATAGTGGGAGCTTTATAAATAAAAGAAATCATTTATTAGAATGAAGTTATATGATTTCTTTTAGTTATTAAAGCACTATGTTTAATTGAATATGTATCTATTCAATTAACAAAATCCAATTATGACTATTGAATATATGATTTCTTTTAGTTATTTAAATAATTTTAATATTTATCTTTTAAGTATTTCTTTTAACTTTTGAGGGTTTATTTGTCATTATTTTTTTTTTTTAGGGTTTTAGTTTCTCAATACAAAGGGATGCATAAAAGGGTTTTATTTAAATTAGACTTTAATTATTATTGAATACTATTACTAATATTACTTCCTTTTCAAATTCTCAAATTCTTTCTCTTTTCTCATCCCTTTCTTCTTCTCTTCTCATCCCTAATTCTTTCATTCCTAGTCTACATCAATTTGGCATCAAAGCTAATACGATTTACATCAATTTAGTATCAGAGTTAATACGATCTATATCAATTTGGTATCAGAGCCCAACTTCGATTCATGCAAATCACATCATCACGGTTCATCTGTTCATCGCACGCACTGTTCATCGAGGGCACTGTACATCGACAACACTGTTCATCGTGGCACTGTTCATCGCCACCAACATCTCACTGTCCAGTCATATTAAAAAAAAAAAACATTTCAAAGTTTGAAGGACTAGGTTTCAAAGTCGACATCTATTGCCCTTTTCCACTATTTTCTTGCTTCATTGTCGGTGTTGTGTTTTGTTGGCGCCATCGTCATCGATCCATCATCATTTGGGTAGCATTGTCTTCGCCGTTGTCCTTCACTCACCGGATCTATTTCCTTCTTGTTGTTGCTGAACTTTGGCACTAGGGTTTTACAAAATAAAAAAAGAATTACCCCTGCAGTCTCGAAAATAGCAGATTTGTATCGATGAGCTTATACCATTCTCATCTTTCAAGAGTAACTCATGAGTTCCTCTCATGCGAATGTTTCAAGAGTCTCTCATCGAGGTCACATCATAGGAAGTCTAGAGATATTTACATGGAGTTTCATATGAAAAAACTAGTCAAAGATCCTTCTATATTTAGTAGCAGTTTAGATCTTTTTGAATTATTGAATTGGTTAGCTAATTTAGAAGAATATTTTGATTGATATGGCATGTCAGATTCTTATTGCGTCCGTTTTGCTAAATTAATGTTAGAGGATTCCGCCAAGCGATATTGGCAAGCAATCCAAAGAAGCCTAGATAGCTTGGGAGAATCACCTATCACTTGAGTTGAAATGAGATATAAATTGAAAAAGAAATATTTGCCTACTTCCTACACGAATCAATTTTATGACCAATAGTTCAATCTTAGACAACATTCTTCTAAAGTCTCTAATTACTTTGCCCAGTTCAATTATCTCATGTACTCGTGTGACATTATTGATGAACCTTAGACAATTGATCAGTTTATTCTTGGGTTGAAACCAAATATTAGTAGGGAAGTCAAGCTATACACTTTTAATACGTTAATGGCAGCCTATCAATATGCTCTAAAGGTTGAGAGATCTCATAAGAAATCCAACTATAGCTTGATCAGTTCTCAATCACAACCTGCTAACAAGGCACCTTCCAATTTTAATTTCATCACACGAGTATCATGATTATTTGAACAATGTCCATGTTATTTCTGCATGCTTTCCTAATCTGAATGTGATAAAAGATTTAGATATGCTAGTATCGGATAAAGAAAAAAATGTTTCTCATTGATTTTAAACTCTCTCATTCAATTTCATCGAATCCGAGTCCTCCTTCTTTACACCCACAAGAGTTCATATCGAAAGAAAGTGTGTGAGTTGTTGCTTGTGACAATTCTTAAACCATCATTGGTCTTGGAAATCGGTGAAAAGTCTGTCGAGTCCACACTTATGAAGGATGTCGAGCGTATTGAGTTACCCATTTCAGAATCTTTGATTGTTTTGTGTCTCCTATTTCAAGTCAATCTAACTTTATTTCCAAGTCTTTCTACTCTGAAATAGTTGACTTTATTCCTACTATCAAGATTTCATTTGAATTGGTACTTAATTATTTGCACCACCAAGGCGTTATTGTGCCTCATTTGTCATCGATGTTTTGTCCCATTGAATACTTTTTGTTGAAACCTAATGAGAATTGCTTTGCTATTATCGAGTTTAGATCTAATTTTTATTTGCTTAATTTTTCATTGAATGTTAGTATTAGTCTAGATTTTTATTTAAAAGACATGCTACTTAATCGAGGTAATCCAGAGCCTCCTATGTTGTTAGCCAGCGTTTCTACAGATGAAAATTCTTACATTTATCCTGATCGATAGAAAGATGTTGATGGTTCTTTCATTCTTGATGAGACATTATATCATCTTCATGCTGCTCTCTTAGAGTACTTTTGCTTTGAAGACTCTTCAGTGGAGAATTTTTCTCAATCGGGGGAGAATGATGGGGATCGTGTAAGAATTTGATAGATATTATAAATTAGTTATGAGAGTTATTTAAATACTTTTAATATTTATCTTTTAAGTATTACTTTTAACTTTTAAGGGTTTATTTGTCATTATTTATTTGTTTTAGTGTTTTAGTTTCTCTATATAAACGGATGCATGTAAGGGTTTTATTTAAATTAGTTTTTAATTTTTATTGAATAATGATATTACTTCATTCTCAAATTCTCTCTCTTTTCTCATCCCTTTCTTCTTCTCTTCTTATCTCTAATTCTTCTCTTCCTACTCTACATCAATTTGGTATCAGAGCTAATATGATCTATATCAGTTAGGTTGTACCATTCTTGACTAGATTCTTAGATTAAGAGTTGCTTCAATTATTTTTTATTTCATATTCATCTTATTAGATATAAACATAAGATAATTAGTGGACTCCCCATAGTAAGCCTAGAGAGGTAGTATCATTGTAAATTTTTTAAAACAATACACGAACTCATTGAAAATTGTAAGGTTCCACGTAAGGCATACCAAGAAAGGATTGACGAATTGCACGCTCAAAAGCGCCCTCCCCTACATAATGATGAGCTAAGCAACCAGTTATCCGTCTCATGGCCTGAAACATGGTTGGTGCACCAGCTCCTTGATATGAATCTGAACCAACCTGTACAACAAGAGGTAATAACAATTATGACAAAGTCTAACACAAGAAGAGCAAATGAATATAGAAGATGTCAATACTTAACATAAAATGTACACAAAATAAAAAATCGGTGCCCAGTTGAGCATGTAATAACAGAAATTGGTACTCACCTGGCAAAGGGTGTTTTTTTCCTTTCCTTATTGTAAGATAATCGAATTAGTATTCATTAAAAAGCCCACAGCACAATCCACAGGATTTAAAAATAACAGTAAGAACATTAGAGGAAATCTAATTAAAACAACCCAAATCGAGTCAATAGCGTATTAATTCCAACATAGTGGTGTTAAGTCAGACATGTCTATAATTAGGGGTATTTGGGTAATTGAGGTGTGGCTACATCCTCAGATGTGTTTCTACAATATTATGTTTAGTATATATGATAACCAAGGTAAAAGCTAACATAAAAGGTGATTAGCAGTGCAGTCCCTCTTACGCCAGGCGTTGGGATTGAACTAGAGACAAAACTAACCGTTGACATAATTGTGTAAAGCAGTTAATTTTCTTGAACACACGTTCTCAAAGGGGATAACCTTAGCCCTTAACCACTAAAACAAGCAATGCCCCACCCACCCACCCAAAAAAAAACTATAGACAATTCACCATATTTTTTGAGTTAGCAAATTTGGTGTGCGAGGAATGGAAATCTTGTCACCTGAGTAAAATCTACAGCAGGTATGAACCATTTAACCCAAATTTTTGTGTAGGTATGAACCATTTAACCCAAATTTTTGTGTACCAGAAGCTGAATAGTCAAACAAAGGAGAAATAATCAATATCTCACCTACTTACAAGTTGTGCAATATTATTACCTCTTCGTTATCAAAAAGTGCGACCATCCGAATTGCATGCTCACTCGATAAATCTTCAGGTGATTTACATGAATCAACAAGAGCTCTCAATGCGCAATAACTTGAAGCAAGGTTGTCTAGTCTTCCAGAATATATGAATTCATTGTTTCCACCTCCAAGGCAGCTAGGTTGGGTATCACAAATATTCAACTCAATACTTGCTATGTCATAAATACTACAGCCCAGCTCATCTGACAAAATCTGAAAACTAATTTAGAGACGAATTAGACCCACAACTGTCGCAAAAACCACAGTGGGCATCACTGTGTTCATCTTCAAGATATTGTACCCATTGCTATGTTAGAGGAAACCTACAACAAATGAAAAAAAGCCACCAATGCAATTCTAGCAACAGCTCTAGCCAAAGAAGCAACAACATAAAAGCATATTGCAAATGTACATAGGATGAGTACACACAGTTAAGACATTCACTATACAGACTCGCTATTCCCTTAAATAAACAAAACTAAATCACTGTGGCCCTCCATATACTATGCCAAATAAAAAAAAATTAAACTTCATTAAAGCAACTTTTATTAAGGCAGTAACTTGAGTGGAATGGAAGAACCAGAACCCGCCCAGACCAACCGTGGGAAGGGATTTCAGAATTGGGTTCACTATGTGGTTAGAAAACACTAAGTGGATCTGAAATTTGCAATCTAACGCAGTAGTGTCCCAAACAGCCCAAACCCAATCACCTATACATGCATAATAGAAATAGTCTAAGATATCATTATCATTTGCTAATGCATCACATCCATAGGATATAACTAATTATAGCTTCACCGTTGATTCAAAAGTTTAATGAACCAACCAAAAAACCCGATTCCATACCGTTCTCACTGCTCACATCATTTTCATGACTCCTTCATGGATTCTGTCAGCTCACATAATTTGTTTCTCTTTCTTACCTCCAAGTTGTTCATTACCCAAGAAACTCTAACTTCTATTATCTTTATTATTCCTTTACTAGCTTTTCCTCGGTGCAACGATATAAGGCTGCAACCAATCATCAGCTTTATTATTATTTGAAGAAGTATCTGTTTCTTATAAAAAGCGATCTCTCGCTCAGAACTGGTTTTGATATTAACCTTTGTCCTGTTCCACTTCACAATGTGGGACATTCTCTCTTCCTATCTCGTGTGTAAGTGTTGGGGAGGCTTGTATGTATATGTGTGAGTGATGTTTGCATTTGATACCTAATTCTGGCAACCGAAACGCATATGGATCTGTATTTGGATATTTTGCCATCAACATGAGGTGGGGTTGGGACGGTACTTGGACAAGTATCCCTAGTTAGCAGACCTACCCATCCAAGTTGTACACCTAGTTTTCAGAAAATGTGTTAGATGAAGTGTTCAAATTATATGGAAAGAGTTGATATTCAAACTTTACAGAATCTGTAAGATGATATATTTAAAGTTTGATGGGAATCATCATTTAACTAGGATGATTAATTTAAACATCATAACAAGTATTGACCAATCCAATGTGATACATGAAGTAATTACCTGCGAGACCCAGCCACTAACTTTAAAAATTGTCTGCAAAATTTTCCTGTTTCGCAAATATATGTGGAAAAAGTCATTTTTTTGTTGTTCAACCATTTTTATGTCTCCTACATGGGAATGGTGAGAAAAGATGTGCTTTACATCCTAGAGGGGCTATAATTGGAGATTGGGATAGCAAAGAAAAAAGGAAGTGAGTTCGACAAAAAGACAAGCAACTTGGACAAAAAGAAACAAGAAAAAAGAGATCTTTTTATATTCTTTTATTACTATATAGTACAGATATTTAGACCTATAGAATCCTTTATCTGTAAATTTATGTTTAAATGAACTAGTCAACTTATTACTTCAGCATCCTTCTCTAACTTGTTAACTTATCTTTTCATGACCTTTAATCTACAAACTTCTGCCAAAATGAACTCCATCAACTTATTACTTCGGCATCCTTCTCTCACATGCTAAATTTAATCTACAACAAACCTAGATCTTCCCTATAATTTTACAAGTACGGGGAATAGGTATTCATACAAAAGGGGCGTAAACCTAAAAATGTCGAGCGATGTGAAATCATTTTGCTAACCATCTTCAGATGCTAGCATTTATTTCTTGATTGGCATAATCCAATCATGGTTCAAGGTCGCGGTATCGGCCGTTAACTCGGAGGCCGCTGAGACACATCAGCCGCGGCATCACGGCGCAGTATCGGCCGATACGCGCAAAACACTATATAAAAGGCTCAAAAAAAATTGAAAAAATAGTAATAATGTAAACATCATCATCAATGCATCATATCTCTAAAAGACATTATTTAACACATTGATCATTTCAAAAAAGAATAATAAGGACGATACCGGAAAATATTTATTATCATTTATATTCAAGGTTAATATAATTTAATTTGTAATTTTTAAAAATTATAAAAAAAAATATAAGCGTATAATTTTTCATTTAATTATTTATAATGTATCTGATTAGATCGATTATATGTATATGTATTTTATGTATGATGATTATATGTATTTTCTCCATTATGTACATTTAATTATTAAATCATCTATGCATATACAAAAACAAACTTAAGAAGTTAAGTTCTCATTAAATTATATGATAAATACTAAAAGTTATATAATTAAAACACTTGGGCCAAAACCAAAAAAACAAAAAGAAGGGGGGGGAATTAAATTTTGGGGTCTCATAAGGCAAAACTTCAACCCACCGACTTTTAGACAGTCAGACTTCGACGAACGTAAAGAGAGAGAAAGAGGGGGAGCACAGAGACAATGGGTCTCTGCTACTCGAGACTCATCGTCGTGAAGCTGGATCTCCTGCTACTCGAGTAGTCCGATCGTTGAGCAGCCTAGGGTTTCTGCAATTCATCCGCGATGATCGTTGATCCACAGTTTCTATACTTGGGTCCTCTACTACTACAAAAAAGAATGAAAGTAAGAACAATGAGTGTAAAAGGGTCTCAGATTGGGGAGATTTACCACAAATTTTCAAGTCTGTGATCTATTCATTCTACCTTGTTTCTTTTGTTTTTATTATGGTGAAAGGGGTCTGATTTAGGGTTCAATTTCTCTTCTTTTTGGGCTTTTTTTTGGTATTTTCTTTGTTGTGCATCTTAGGTCGATTTGAAAGTGAATCGGCCGAGTTTGTCCGAGTTTAACCGATTCAAATCCGAGTTTGTCCGAGTTGAACCAAGTTGGCCCGAATCAGAACCGATTCATGGTAGACTCATGATAGTCTTGTATCGTGTATCGTTATCGTATCACTGCCTGCCGAGGCGGATACGACTCGGCCGATACTTTGAACCTTGAATCCAATGGAGACCATGGTTCAAGGTCGCGGTATCTACCCTTGCCTCGAGGGGCCACTGAGACACATCGGTCATGGGGTCGCGGCGCAGTATCGGCCGATACACCCAAAACACTATATAGAAGGCTCAAAAAAATCAGAAAAAATTATAATAAATGTAAACATCATCATCAATACATCATATCCCTAAAAGACATTATTTAACACATTAATCATTGCAAAAAAGAATAATAAGGATGCTATCGAAAAATATTTAATATCATCTATATTCAAGGTTAATATAATTTAATTTGTAATTTTTAAAAATTACAAAAAAATATAAATGTATATATATGGTTAACTTAATAGCTTTAAAAATAAAAATCTATTTATAAAGAAATTCTTCATTTAATTATTTATTATGCATCTAATTAGAAATTATATGTATTTTCTCCATTATGTAAATTTAATTATTAAATCATCAATACATATATAAAAACAAACTTAAAAAGTTAAGTTCTAATTAGATTATATGATAAATATTAAAAATTATATAATTAAAAAAATTAGACCAAAACCTAAAAAACAAAAAGAAGGGGGGGAATAAATTTTTGGGTCTCGCCAAAGCCTCACGTATTTTGACTCAAAGCCTCTCTCTGCAACTCTCAAACTTAGCCGATAAAGAGAGAGAGGGAGAGAGAGAGCACAGCGACGATGGGTCTGGGAGTCGACGCTGGTCGCTGAAGGATCGTTGGGTGGGATCTGAGTCTCTGACTCATCTGCGATGCTAGGGCTTCTCTGAGACGTTACCAGCAGAGAACAAAGAGAGTAGTCCCGAGGGAAAGCTCACATGAAGGCAAGGTTCTCTGCTACTCGAGACTCATCGTGAAGGCTGGGTCATTTGCTACTCGAGTAGTCCGAGACTCATCGTGAAGGCTGGGTCATTTGCTACTCGAGTAGTCCGATCGTCGAGCAGCCTAGGGTTTCTGCAATTGATCTGTGATGTTGATCGAGGATGTTGGGTCCTCTGCAACTGAGAAGAAGAAGGAAAGTAAGAACAAATAGTAGGAAAGGGTCTCTGATTAGGGAGATTTACCACAATTTTTCAGGTTTGTGATCAATTTTGTTCTAATTTCCTTGTTTTGTTTTTATTATGATAGAAGGGGTCTGATTTAGGGTTTAATTTCTCATCTGTTTTTGCCTTTTTTTGGCATTTTCTTTGTTGCTTGAAAGTTGGTGGACGATTCTATGCGTATTTGTTCGATTCGAAAGTGAATCGGCCGAGTTAGACCAAGTTGAATCCGAGTTGGCTCGAGTCAGAATCGATTCATGGTAGACTCGTGATAATCTTGTATCGTGTATCGTTACCGGATCGATGCCTGCCGAGGCTATAAGACTTGGCCGCGTTGTATCCGACTCGAGTGATACTTTGATCCTTGATTGAGACTATCAAAAAGGGGGAGTGTCACAGAAAATGCAGAACAAGTATCTCCCAGAGTAAGGCTAACCACCTTTGCCACAATTCTCATTTAGCCCCAACTAGAGATTCAAAGGGGAGAAAAGAGTTGGACAGCTGGACCGTTGCCAACACCCTCTTGACCAGATTGTGCATGTTTAATTCCTTTGCTCCTGGAGTTGTCCTATATATGAACTATGCAGTCTCAAGAAAGGAAGAGTAAAACTTTTCCGACCTGAACTATTGCTGCATAATTGTTTTCCAATTTTATTACTGCTATATAACTGTTTTTCAGAGTTTCATTTGCATATTTTCTCACTGTACTTGTTCTTGAATTATAATGATCTCCGATGGAAGTAAGCTAATATGCACAGCAGCACTTTAATACTAAAGTTAAAGGACTTCCAATTGAACGAGAACACGTATAGTAGGGGAAGAGAGATAGAGACAAACATGCACACACAAACACAGAGACCGAGAGATAGACTAAAGTAGTGTTTTGAAAAGCTCGCCTAGGCGAGAAGCGAAGCAACGGTCTGTCGCCTTGAGCACCCCAGGCGAAGCGAATGTGACTGAAGCGAGGAAAAAGCGAGAAAAGCGAATGCCTTGCGCTTAAGCAAAAGGCGAGAAAGCGAACGCCTTAGTTATGCGAGGCGAGATTGTCTTAGATTGTTTTATTTTTATTATAGACCGTTGGATTGGGACAATTGAACAAAAATTATAAGATGCCCATACACCCAATTACCCCCTTATCCCATAAATACAACACCCAAACCCTAATTTTGCTCAAAGGGTCAAACTACAAGTGCTAGCTACTGCTGCTCCTTCCTCGCTGGTCAGATGCGACGACTGCTGTTGCTGCTGCTCCTTCTGGTCCACACACAAGTTTGTTTTCTTCTCTCTTTCTTCTCTCTTCTCATTTTTAGTTCTGATTCTCTTCTTCTTCTCACTTCTGGTCCTCGCTGGTCCACACTTTTTTTTTCGCTGGTCCACACAGTGGTTTTGTTTCTCTTCTTCTTCTCTCAGGTTGTGGTTCTCTTCTTTTTCTCGCTTTCGGTTCTTTCTTTTTTTTTATAGTTTTTTTTTCTTTTTTGGGTTCTCTTTTTTTTTCTTTTTCTGCTTATGCTTCTGCTGTTTTTTTTTCTACTTCTGTTGATGTTCTGATGCTGAGATTTTTTTTTTTGCATCTGCTATTTTTTTTCTGTTTCTGCTTCTGCTTTTTTTTTTTTTTTCTGCTTAAGCTTCCTTTTTTTTTTTTTTTTTTACTTTTGTTTTTTGTTTTTTTTGCTTTTGCTTCTGATTTTCTATAGCTGATAATTCTAATTTTCTGTAATGCAATTTTGTTGATAATAGTGTTGATTTTTTATAATCCAGAATGCTAATTTTTTGTAATGCTGAATACTAATTTTTTGTAATGATGAATGCTAATAATGCATTTGAACTTGATGATTTCACTGGTAGTAGTGCTGATTTTATTAATAGTGTGATTTTGCTGATTTCCTGTACTGTTTTCTTTCTTTGATTGTAGTGTGATAGTGTCATTCATAAACAAATAAATGTTTAGAAGTAATTAAACAAAAATATTTACTTTTTTTTTTTTAACTGTTCGCTTCGCTTTGGTAAAGCACTTCGCCTCTCGCCTAGGCTTTAGGAGCCTTGGTCGCTTCGGTTCGCTTTATGACTTAAATAACACTAGGCTGAACTATGTCACTTTTTGAAATGGAATCTTGCAATAGGTTAGCTTGAGCCAAATGAATTTTAAACCACCTAGTAATTCTCTCTCTTGACACCACCTACCAGAATGGTAGTGGCTGGGTCTTCTGTTAAAACATTGTTTTCAGGTTTTATGGTTAGTGTAATATCAAGATCATATATACTTCTAGACAAGCTTGCTGGTAATTTTCCCTATTACTTGTTTCAGCAGTATACTGGTCCCTATTTTCATTACTGCTGATATTGTGAACTTTTTCTTCCTTTTGATAGAACTGCATACAAGGGTTCTTAAGAAGGATTTTCTCACAACCCACTCTCCGACACAAGGACCATTATGCCATTAGTAGTCCATCCACACAGCCTCCTTAAAATATAACTCAGCATTTATTCCAATCAAATCAAAACAAAAAATACAGTGATACCTGCATAAGCAGTGGATGATGAGCATCTTTTGGGGGTGATGGATTATGCTCAGCTGATCCGTCCTCAAGCTTCATTGCCAACAGTGGGATAAGGTGAGTTTCCAGATTTGGTTTGAACCCATCCGTATTCACAGTGCTAAGCACCCAAATAAAAGAAAAAATAACAGCAGATAATATGAGTAAAACAGGGAGTCATGGACTCATAGCCACTGTGAGACAAAATTAAGTAATCGACCCAAGCAGAAGAACATGGATTTATAATTCAAATTATAAGGGGGCAGAAACTAAGAAATAACCTGAAGCTTTTTTTAACCCTACAAACATGAAATCTGTAAGTGACAATCAGTTTTCATGTAAAGACTTGATTGCCCAAGTTGGGTAAAATAATGGAGATGCGTGAAGATAAATGTGAAACATTTTGTTGGGAGGAAAGAGCGAAGAAAAACCAACTTATGACATGCAATGGCATGCAATAGTTGTGTGTGTGTTTTGAACGTTTTTCTCTCCCTTTCTCCCCGTATCTATATAATAAAGTAGAGTTGTTTTTGAATTCCAATCATAAACAAGTAGAGCTGTTTTTGAATTCCAATCAAAAACAATGTCTTAGATCATTTCTATAGCGCTCTGTGTGTGTGTGTGTGTGTGTGTGTGTGTGTGTGAATATGTGTATGATACATTCATACATATATGTTACATGCTGTGGTAAGTGGAGCTATCAAATATACACGAAATACGGTAGAAAATAAAAAGAAAGAAACAAGGATCAATAAACTAGGTGAAATGTGAGACAAGCTTACCCATTGCTAGATGACAACAAAATTGCAATTTAGAGAACTTGAAGCAACTACAGCAATATGATGTTTGAATTTCAGGAAAATTTTCGGTAAGTCTACTTTTACATTCCAAAAACCATTAAATCCTATACTTTTTTATAGAAGTTACAAAATAGCGTTCCTCAAATTATCTTTAGGCTTCAACACCTGGAAAAACATCTATATAATAGGATAGCTCACAAGTTGAATTTTATCCCCTACATATTTTCCCCCAAAAAACATCACATCACCAATTTATATCACATACCCAATTATTTCGATATTGAATAATTCATGGTTTAATATAATTTTTATTTCACATATTATCCATACAATATAGTATACATATGTTAAGAATTTTTGTCAAATTATGTACTTTGAAAAAAAATTGTCGATATTTTTAAGAAAATAATGGATAAACAAAGAAAATTTATTATTTAATATAGTGAAATAGATTTTTTTGAGCACTCGAATTTTATGTTTTATCGTGCCTTCAGGCACGGGTTATGACTAGTGGCATTATATGGAAGAAGTCTGAATTTTACTTTGTAACTATGAAACCAGCATGTGACTTCAAATGGATGTAAAAAGTTTCAAAAGAAGCAAGTACATTGAATTGGAATAAGAAAGTACAAATCCCAGTAGATTAGGCATAAATGATGACAGCAAAGTATAGACATGCTCATTAGAGCAAAAGCTAAACAAAAGGAGTTTATTAATTTTAAGTGCATTAAATTTCAGACCAAAGATTCTTAAATGAGGAAGATTATTTTGTTCTCTTCAAGAGACAAAAAGGAATGCAATAATTGCATAACTTGATCACAACTACAGAACTTGAATTTGACTAAGACAAAAGCCTTCAAGGCATGATAATATTCTGAGGGTTTGTACAAGGGAACAATTTAACGTGCCAAGAGTTTTTACATTAAATATCCGTCAAAATAACCGGAGCAATTAAAAGAAAGAAAAGAAGAACAAGAAATTAAAAAAGTTCCAGGAACTATATTCTACTATAGTGAAAAGAAGTAAGATTAAATTCTATAATCCACCAAAGTTTTATAAACTAAAAAGATCACCAAAAATTTTTAACACTTGCACCATTTTACCCAGCAAATGAATAGACTTCAGAAATATCTGGCATCGTAAGAGCTTCTCAAAGGAAAACTTGCATTCTAGCAATTCACTCTGCAATAAAGTTCTATTGTTTGAACTACCAATAAAAATTAGATTCCTTTTGCAGTTTTAGGTTTGTGGTTCCCATGGCACTGGATGTGCTATATAAGAAGTGTTCCGGATATCTATAGTCTTAGATATCCCAGACTGTGAGAGAGAGAGTGTGTGTGTTTCATGGTCATGTTTGTATCACATCAAAAGCAAGTAAGGAATAGCAAAATAATTTAACATCATGAATAAGGGTAGCAGTTAGTCCAAGCAGTGAACACTAAACCTAAGGAGCCAGACCATCTCCGAATGCTCCCATATAGGGCAGTAATAAGGAATATATTGACAAGTGTCACTTGGGAGAATTCACGGTTCCGAAAAAAAATGCTAAACCCCCCATTCACATGGTTTTTGCTATCCCCCATAGTAGTTCACTATGTTGTCTCTAAGTCTAACCAGCTTATTTGGATCAGGCAGTCAGGTTGATTGTGTTATAGGCATTCTCCTCAAAGGCTACTAGAAAAAGCTCCTCAAATACACCAGAAAAAGATATGACTAAGTTTTAAATGCATTGATCTAACAAGAGGGGGTAAATCCCAATCAACCCACAAACTCAAATACCACTCCTGTCAGCATCAAGGTTTTTAAAATCCGGATGGTTACAGGATTTGGATCGCAGGGTCGAATCGAGAATCTTAAGATCCTATCAACTGAGAAAATGAGACAAAACACACATACAACAATACAAAATTCCCAAAAATAAGAATTAAACAAGCCTAGTATCTATACAAATAGAAATATTATGACAAACATACAACTTAAGATATTATTAAACTTGATAAAACTACAATTTGAGTATTAAAGAGAGTTTAAAAAGGGATTTTAAAAAGAGAAATAGAAGAATTTAAAAGTATTTTGATCCTAACTTTCTAATAAAGAGACAAAGAGTAGAGACTAGAAAGTTGAAAGATTGTTGGATAATAACATTGAATATTCAACATCCAAACAAAAAACGTAGAAAACAATAAAAATGAAAGACTATCTAGCTATGATCACTCGTGCCGAGAGAAGATCAAATTTAACCATTGCTTTCAACAAGAAAAAAGAACAAATAAAGAGACTTATTTGTGAACGAAATAAACTTTTTGTAGCTTTTCTCATCTACTGAAATTCCCTCATAAACTCACAATTGTATAAGACATTAACTTTTGGATTGAGTCCTTGACTATGAAAATGAAAAATATGGATTGGATTGCTCAATAACTAAATGCGCCTAACAAACGTACTCAAGAACTTGAATCGGTAAAATCGTAGTTTGGATTGCGATTTTAAGATCTGGATCACAATCCATTAAGATCCTACGGATTTGAGATTTTATAAGAGACTCGGATCAATTTACTTATATTGGATTGGAAGATCTTAGGATCCATATCAGAATTCTGATAACCATGGTCAGCACTAGGAGTGCATAGCTTCTCCAGTAGTCAGATATATCAATCCAACCACATCCTTGAACCGCACAGAACTATGGGAATTTAGGCAGATGTAATCTCACAACCAAATGATAAATAAAAATATGATTGATAAACAATGAATCTTCAATAAAGGGAAACGAACCGGTCAAGATGAATTGCCAGTGTAGGAACTCGTAACAGAGGCCTCTTTATTTTGACAAGCTTATGCAATAAGGAACCATCATCTCCTCTCACTATGACCCTTCCAGCAACACTTAAATCCCTATCAAACCAAGTGTGCCATAAACCACCACCATAAGTTTGCACGTTGACCATAAGATAGGCAGATTTTGATGAGGCAGACTTTGGCTTTAGTTTCAGACACGGACTATCTGTGTGCGCAGCAATTACATGAAAACCGCTACCAGTTGAATACCTGCAAAACTAATGTAAGATTTTACTAAACAAGATTGTCAGAAAAGCAGAGAGGATGATGAAGTTAACATCTTAGTTTCAAAGTTTAACGCTGGTTATAATATACTAGGAAGAAAATTGATACGAGAGCAGCACTTATTCCCATGAACAGCCAGGAAAAAAAACAAAGATGGAAGTAAATGAATCCGGAACAAAAAAAGAACAACAGAAAATATTGATATCATTTCACAATATGAGGACAATATAAATGCATAACACAAATGGCCATACATCTAGCATCGTGATAATCAGTGCCAGTGTGACCACCTGGAAGTTCAGTCCCCCAGCCAATCTTCATTCTATCTAGTCTCATAATCTATAAGCTCATTATTAATGAAGTGGATTGCATGATTTCTTTTTGAATACTTAAAATGCAAGGTTTGACCAGATAGAATGTGGATACTCACTTTTCCCCAATGGCAAAAGCAACCAAACAGGACATGTTCCGCGTAAAGAAGTAGCGTCCACCAGGTTTCAGGTCCCATTCGTCACTCTCATTTAGCAAATGAAATCCAGCAGCAATTAATTGTCGTTTTGCTTCAGCTATTAAAGAGGATAGATAGTAATGAGAACAAAATATCCTATGGCCAGAACATCAATTTAAAAACATATTTTCCAGGTTTTTCTGTAATATTTGTGGGGACCTGCAGATAATCTTATAAAACATGCATGAGCAACATGAATAACATTGTTATTGCAGAATTGTAAATCCTAATATTTTGAATTGGGAAGCAAGATGGATCATATTAAAACAGTGCAAACATCCCTTACATACAAATTTCTTTAAGGAAATTAAATATTATCAAACTGACATTGCACTACATAACCTCCATATGTTTGTTGTATCATTGATGAGTGTTTTGCAAGAAACTATTGTTACACGAGTTTCTTTCATATCAGCTATTAGTGGAAGATTCTAATCTGAGTTTCAAAAACCTGGGCAATAATTGGTTTTGGAATCCACTGAAACCTGATTAGGCTTTGTTTAAGACAAATGACGTTGCATATATCCCTCCTACCAAACTTCATTATGGGTTGATTAGGTTAAATTCTAAACTTTAATTTTCTGCCAAATAATTAAATTCAATTTGTGATTCGTCTTGCTTTATTCAATTTGCTCTTTCTACAACTAAATCAACTTCATTCCCGAGCTAGTATGGGACCAAGATTGTTTTTTCTTAAGCTTCTATTGTGCAGCAAATATGTCTCAACCTTTATGTTTTTTACACCAAAGGCCCATAGTCTTAACAATTTGGAAATTTTCTCACAAAACAGTGTGTGCTCTTTTATCTATTAGTTGCTAGTATAGTGGACTCTTTTTTTTTCATAGAAGGCATAAAACTTTTCATACTAAAGTAAAAGGTACAATGTAGTGGACAAGAAATCCCAATGATGGATCTAATACAATAAAAAGGAAGGAATAACAAAACTAAAAAGAAGCATCGATACATTTTACATCAACCAAGAGCTATTATTCTATTCATCTAATTACATGCCCCTTCCAATCAAGATTAAGGAGAAAGAAAAGGCGCAACCTTAAACTCTTTTGAAGTCAATTGTAAAAGGTAGACAAAAACTTAATTATGTCCCAAGGGAATTCCACATATTCTTCTTTGTCTTCAAAATTATGTTATTCCTTCCCAACCATGTCCCCCAAAGAATTGTCATAACCACACGTTTCCACAATATAAATGTTTTGCCCCATTCCCAAGCACATCATGATTCATTTCAAATAAAGAGACACAATCGCATGGGAAACCAAACTCACCAAGAGCTTTATACCACAATTTCAAGGCCACAAGCAGTGAAGAAATAGATGAACTACAAATTCATTGCAATTTCTGCACATTACACATCACTAGGGAGAAAGACAAGTCGTCAGTGTTCTCCTTTGTAACTCATTACAAATATTGATTCTCCCATGGGCTACAGTCCAAACATAAACATGCACCTTACCAGACACTCTAGTCTTCCAAATCATCTTATAGGTCCCAAAAATTAAGGGAGATGTGTCATTAATCAAGTTATCAAAGCACAATTTACAGGTCAAAACAGTGGAAGAATCGAGGATCCATAATCTTTTATCTCTCACCCCTAGAGTCAACAACAACAATTGGACTAAAGAAAATAGAGGAGAGCTCCACCACTTCCCCGTTCAAATCCACCCCTCTTGAGAACATGACACAATATACATACTTGTAATGGAAGCCTCACTAGACCGATACAACTTAAAGAGACGAGGAAACAGCGACTCAAAATAAGAATCACCTGCCCATGTACCTTTCTAAAAAAGAAGTATCTCGTCATTCCCCACACTCACCCTAATATGCTCCCTAAAACCATACTAGACCTTATGAAATAGATTTCCAAAGACACACAGGAGAATCCTAACCACCACATTCGAATCTCATCCGGGGGATGAATTTCATATTTGTTTTTTATAACAATATGCCACATAGAATTCTGTTGAAAACCTCCACAATCGTTTAGCAATATTTCTTTCTACCAAATTTCCAACACTCCAGACCCCTTACACTTACCAGTAGACACCATCTCCCACCTTACAAGGTGGTCTTTCTTCCCCTCACCAAAAGTTTCTCATCATTTTCTCAATTAAAAGAGTATATTCTCCTCACCACTCACACATGTAGTGTTTTACCCAACACTACATGTGTTCACGTGCTAAAACCCAGCTTGAATACTTAATAATCCTTCATTTAATGTTGAAATGTGCCCAGAATGTGAGCACACTGCATTTCTAAGGAATACATCACAAAACAATGGCATTCCATAAAGCTTGATGTTTTTATTGTGCCTTGAAACTCAAGGTTTCACAATTCACTTGACAATTTGCTTAAAAGAACCAAGATGTTTCAATTCTCTAGATGCAGTCATGCTTTGCTTAGATTGGACTTTGTCCCTCATAAAATCTCTGTAATCCCCATTGGTGTTGCTATTTTCCCAATCAAAACTATTAAATGCCAGTTTTGTTTATCTCAGAAAATGGATTTCAGATACTCCATTGTCACCATTTCTTCATACGATGTACAGCTTTGACCCCATACTCAAGTTCTCATGCACTCATGGCACCAACAGCATCAATCTCGCTATGGTGCCATGGTGCATCATCTCTTTCGATCAAATGTAATTTCAAGTTCAAGCCTAAAGATAGCCACTACAACCAAATAATGCAAAAGATTACGTTTGTATCTGGCTATCTTCCCAACACAACATGAAGAAATCATATGTATTATTTTTTACACGTCATTTTGGTTAATGAGTAATTGTCACTGATTTCTCATGATCGATTTTTAACAATAAAAAGGTCCAGCACTCAAGTTTCACAAATGTTTTTTGTCAGTTCCTCTAGTCACATATAATTAAGCTCCTGTTTTGGCATTGTTTGTAGGCATATAGTATTATCATCCATTTTCATCAATTTTGATTGCACTAATCTTACATGACCTCAATTAGCAAGTATATGCCACTTATGTGCCTAATTTATGCCTGATTGATTACTACTCATTTACATGTGGGCACCTTTGAAAATCATTTGCTTTTCTTACATCTAACAATATCCTTACCATCTCCAACATGTGATTTAGATTTCAAATAAACTTGAATTCCTTTTTCTGTACGATCTACAACCAATTGAAATTTAGAATCTTTCTACAAGCCATCTAGAAATCCTACCATTAAGTCCAGAAGCATGCACAAACCACAGTTCATTAGACAATGAGACCCCATATTTTAAAAATTCATCAACCTCTGTGGTCTTCAATATAGCATATATGACCATAAGCTTGAAGAGGTTGTTACGAACCATTGAGGGACACAACACCCTTCAAGCTCAAATTCTAGGCTTAATATATCATACAGAACTAGCAAAATCACTACATCCGATTAATTTTAGAAAATTCAGAATTAGTCACATAAAAAATATAAGAAACAAAAACACGAGGGTTGAAATAATGTGGACACTTAGAATAACAGGGGAATTTTTGACCCTAAGAGTTCCCAGAATTTTCCTCAAAGTTTGTCACTTATTGTAGACATAATGCTTAGGTGAATTTGATAATCATAAATCGAGATTTGTTAGTGTAAAAAGCAAAAGCCTGCATATTTTTAATTAGTATGAGCTAAATGACTAGCCAGATCAAACCGCACAAGCCAATCTAAAACCAACTTGGGTTTACACTCATGGATTAGGTTGGAGCAACCTTTTGAATCTTTAAAGTTAGGCTAGGGTTGGACTTGTACTTAACCAATTCTTGCCACCCCATACACATGCTGAAGATTCATAACAAACACTAATGCCATGGTTCAATCCGGTAGATTGGGGCTGAAGTAAAGTCCAGTAGAAGTGTAGAACTACAAAACAATGCATTAATATTCCCAAAATCAAAAATAAAAATGAAGATTAGTTTACATTCACTGGGGTTTAAAACAATAACCAACATAAGCAAAGAATTTAAGCTTACATGCAAGCCATAAAATGGGACAATAATAGATGAGAAAAAAAGAGGTAAATTGAAGAGTATCTTGAACAAAGCATAGTTATGAACTACCCAAACTTTTACAAGGAACTTAGACTAACCACACCACATAACTATTTAAATCATAAGCTTTGACACATTACTCTTCACTTAAGATTTCTTTTGCTCAACTCAACATACAAACAAATGCGAGCATTCGAAGATTCACGTTCGTATATTTGTTACACATACGTGTATATGCGCATGATTGTGTGTGAATGGGTGCGTGTACAATACCTGTAGCATGAAATTGAGTCCAGGACTCATTGAGATAATCCAGAAGATCAGCAACTATAGACGAACACGAACCAGAATTCGAAGAAATCTGGCATTAGAACTCAAAAGATTTGAGATATAATTCCTAACATATACAACTAAATCTAGAGAGAGAAAGTAGAGAACAAGAAGAACATGACCTCGGGGGTTTGGTCTGAAGCGCAGCAGAAACGGCGGACGGAGAGTTTACGAATACGAGTGCCGTAGAGTGAGAGAGCTTTGATAGGGGTAGAGTGAGAGAGCTTTGATAAAATCACTGATGGTTTCACAACCGAAGATGGCTGGAGGAGTTGGAATCGAGCTATGGCCGCCATTTCTCTCTGTGGCCTCTGAAGTCTGACTAAACTGAGAAAATATAGATAGTATGGTGTGGAATTCCAACCATAAATCTTTTTTCTTACGCTATTTAATTATTTTATTAGGTTAATTACACTAAAAATTCTCATTTCTCTCGGTAACGAAGAATTTGGTTGTTCTTCGGATTTTCCTTATTTTGTCTCCGAACATTGAAAAAAAGGTCCGTTTGATTTGCTTATCAAAAAATAATATTTAAAAAATTTTAAATTATAAAACTTATTTGATTATATATTTTTAAAAATAATTTTAAAGGACAATAATCCATAATTTTCACTCTCACTTCAACTCTATCTCTCTCTCTCTTTCATTGTGTATCAAAACCCACAAAACACCGGTAAGAATCGAAACCCACAAAGCAAGCACTACCAAAACTCGGAACCACACAAAATTTACAACCACTACCACAACCCACAAAGTGCCACTGAAAACCAACAACCACCCAAAATCCACAACCACCATCAAAACTCACAAAACACATCGAAACTCACAATGTGAAGAGATCTAAAGTTTCGCCGAAGAGATCTGAAGCTTCCCCTCTGCTCGTTCTATCTGAGAGACAAAGTGGAGAGAGAGAAGACGACCTTGTATGTATCTTCGTTCTGGAGAGAGAGCCGGAGAAACGGCCTTGTTTTTGTTCTGTTTGATGGGCAAAGTGTAGAGAGACAAAGAGGAAGGAAAAAAAAAGTAAGGAAGCCTGCTGCTAAGGAGAATCGAATGACAGACCTTATTAAAGAGGTGTTCTCCCAGTTCTCCGTGTTTTCATAGTTTTCAAAGTAAAATCTGAAAACAAGTGTGGCTTATTTTCTATTTCTTTGTTCCAAATCTTTTTTTTTTAAAAAAAATTTGAGAACAAAAATACGAAGCAAACAGATTTTTAAAATTTTAATAACAAAAAACTGTTTTGCAAAATATAACCAAACACGTCCTAAGTTTTCCATTTTTTGTTTTTTAAATCCATCTTTTCCCAAAAATTGGAGAACAAAAACTCAAACAAAAAAAGTTTCTCTTATTTTTTAGAAATTTGAAATTAAAAAACTGTTTTCAAAATTCAAACCAAACAGGCCTTGAGGTTTGTCTTATTTTAGTCCCCAAAATTTTAATTGCATCATTTTTGTTTCTAAAATATTGAATACTAGAAATTATCCGTGTATAAAGGCACTACATAAAAAAATTATTAAGAAAACTGAAAATTCATTTCAAAAAATTAAACACCCACAATGCCTAAAGTAAGGATGGCAATCAAATCAATTGTGTTATTTTAGTTTCATGTCAAAAATATCTCAACCCTAACATGAACTATTTACTTAATCATGTCAAAATGACTTAATACAAATACAATTCGTTTAAAACACCAATAGTTAGAGCATGATTCGGGTAACACATTTACTAAATAAATTGTATCAATGTTGACATGACTCGCTATCAACTTGATCAATATGTTTGGTACATGGTTCATGATTGGGTTGTGACGACTCCTATAACACCATCAACATGATGAAAACGACATGTTTAACATGTCTAAATAATTTATTATATCAAACTCAAATAAATCCCTATTTTTAATACAAATTATTCATTCATTTACAATTTACATCTATAAAAATTACTAAATTAAAAAATGACATAAATATCAACTACTAACAAAGCATTGACATGTGCTTACGCATAGAAATAAGTACCCAAAAAATGCAAGGACTCAATAAAAACTATAATCTAAAAATAAACACACATACGATAGAAAGTATTTGGATGTCGCACACACCTCAAACAAAAAATGACACAATGAAACTACAAACTCATACAATAATATTAAATATCCAATAAAAAATTAAACCTATTGATCAAAGATTTAATTTTAAGTATAACATAAAAATCAGATGGTGTTAAGGATTTTGGATGCTGTGCACTAACAAAATGGTTTTACTTAATAAAATTGTTGTAGGGTGAACTGGAGTAACGGAATTTAATTGGCAATATATGCGGTCTGGGAGCGTCTCTAACGGGTGGGAGTGAGATATAGCATTGATGTGGTTGTTGTTACACACACTCCCTCGCTAGACTATTTTTGACCCCACAAAAATAGTTGTTTGCTAGAGAGGTCTGAACACCATAACCATTAAAACAACAAAGGAAAAAGGTAAGATTTTTTTTTTTTTTTGCCCTAAAACAAATAAAGAACAAAATTTAAGAAACTTACCAGTGTGATCAATAAATAAATAGATGAATAGAATCATCGGCTATTTCTGAAACCATCTCAAACAAATTTCCAACCAATGAAATGAAATTTGCAAAGAAACATGCACTATTAAATTAAAATTAAAATCTAGCACATACCACATTCTCCATCACAAAACTCCAACTGTATCAATCTTTTTAAATCACCAATCAAACTCAAGTTCTGCCCCCATAGACCAGAGGGATTGTTTTGAACTGCAGATCTTTAGCTTTACTTTCCTCGTTTACAATCTGAGAGAAAAAACAAATATATACCTGGTTGGTGGTGTAGGAGTAGCGGCGAAGAGGAACAGAGGCGTCAGACGAAGGAATAGAAAGGGCAGTGCAAAGATAAATTTTTGCTAGACATGTAGGGAGAGAGGAGGCAGATATGGGAGAGGTGATTACGGGTAAGGCGAGAATTGGAAGATTTGGGGGAGATAGAGAGGCGTTAATTTAGGAAATATAAATTTCTGTGAAGGTATAGACGCAATTTTGGGGATTAAAATAAAAATTACAATACAGAGAGAGAGAGATGATACTTGGAGAGAAAAGGGATATCAACAGTGATGGCGTCGGTGTTGCTGTGTCGACGAATTTGGGTGGTGTGCGTTAGCAGTGGTTGTTTTGTTCAAGTTGCCATTGGTGGCGCTGACAATGACTATAAGAGATGGAAAATAAAAGAGAAGAGAGATGGGAAGAGGAAAAGAGAATCAGCACTTACGATGAAGAAGGGAAACTAGGATAAGAGAGAAGAGAGATATTAGGAGATAGGAACACTAAGAAAAAAGCTAAATGCTAAGAGAGATAACAAACGTATGAGGGATAAAAAGAGTGTAGACCGTAGAGTCCTGTGATGAGAAGTAAGATTTGAATTGCTAAATATGGGTTGAGGAGAAAGAATCTGTATGAGAGAGATAAAGACGTATGAGAGATAAAAATGTAAAGTCTTACGATGATAGGCTTCTTCAATGATAGGAAAAGAAATTTAGGACCAACTGTAGATCGTTAGATCAAATTTTTTGAGATGATCTGAATCGTCTTTTATGTTTGGATTATGTTGTCCGTTGGATGTGTTTATATTTTGTCTCAAAACGATCTGGACCTCTTTTTGTCTCTAAAATTCAAACTTAGCTCTACTTTATTATATAAATGTTTCTATATGGTCCTTCAAACAGACAACGTCCAGATTGCTAATATTTTTTTATCATAAACTTGT